TTATCATTCCCATTTTACAGCTGAGAAAACTGAGTCACAGTGAATTCGTACATCTTGCCCAAAGTCACTCATAAATCTAGTAAGAACAGAGTTAGAATTTGAAATGAGATTTTTTTTTTCCTGGCCCATGCCCTTGGCCTTTACACAAAACCAGACTCACATAGGCAACCAATGGAAAAAAGGCTCCTTCCTTGGGGGGAAGGAGTCTAAGCACATCGATCTGCATCCAGATACCTCAACGGCTTCTGTGTATCTCCAGAGAGGCAATTCCACCACTGTCTCTTAAATGCCACTTAAATAGGAAAATGCCTGAGAGTTAGCAGTTTCTAGGCTCTGCCCATGGACTGTGAAGGGAAATGCTTCCAGGGCACAATTTAGGGAGTGAATGCTTCAGTGCACTTGATGACAGCCCCCTGACCTGACAAAGCCCCTCTGTCACCCTGAGGGACCCAGGGGTATGTAAGCATGGGGAGGTTATTTGAAAAGCTTCCTTAGCAAGATGTCTCTTCTCCTTGTTTGCTAGAAACCAAAACATTTGTCTTTCAGAACCATCCCAACACACAGCCAGAACTTCTGTTGCAGTGCCTCCAGCTCAGCAGTGATGGGGGAGACCTCCTCCGGGGTGTCTTCTCTTGGAAAAGTGAGACTTTCATTCATTCATCAAATATTTGTGAAGCGTCTCTGCTTTGCCACCCTCAGTCACAGGCAACACAGAACTTTGGTTTTGGTGGAGATGGCAAATTAAGTCATAAACACACCCAGGGAGGGACAGGGGTAGGTAGACAGAGGACTGGTCTCTGTTGGGGAGAGGGGTGGTCAAGGAAGACTTCTCAGAGGAGGTGGCACTTGAGTGAAGACATGGATAACTTCTCAGAAGAAGCCAGCCACGCAAAGACCTGGGGGCAGGACACTCTCAACAGCAGGAGAAGCGTAAAGCAGGAAGATGCTGGCTCTTTCCAGTAACAGGATGAAGGCCAGTGTGTCGGACGCCAGGTTAGCAGAGGAGGGGGGAGATGAGATCAGAAGTTGGCAGGGCAGGTAGAGTAGGCTGTGTGGGCCTCAGCGAGGAGTTTGGTTTTCATTCTGAGTGTTCTGGGAAGCCATGGGAAGGTTTCACAGAAAGGAGTGACAGCCGTTGATTTACATGTTTTAAAGATCTCTGCAGCTGCCAGGTAGGGAATGGATAGTAGAAGGGCACGCGGTGGGAGGGAGTGGGGGGCGCTGAGCAGAACCTGCTGAGTAAGAGATGAAAGTGGCTTAGGCTAGAATGGTAGAAATGGAAAGAAAAGGAAGTGGAGAGATTCGGGTAGCGGTGCGCTGATAAATGTTTAATGAGCAGCTCTCAGGGAAAATATAAAAAAAGCCCTATTGGCCAATTTCTGTGGTGTAAATACTCCCACCATGGCTGGTGGCCACGTGGCCTCGGTGAATGCAGACCTGGGAAGTGCTGCGCACGGTCAGCTCTGGCACGCTGGGCGGCCCACTGCGGACCCCGGGCCCTGTCCGTTCCCCGGCCTCCCTGGACGAAGAGAGTTGCGGTGCCCCCAGCTCCGCAGTGCTGGGCTGAGAGGCAGGTGGCTGTGGGGGAAGAGGCCAGCCCCAGGCTCCGGGCTCCCTGGGAGCTGGCCCAGTCCCCCTGTCTCCTCCACACCCAGCACTCAGCCTGGCGCATAGACAGAACTTCATAAAGAACAAATACAAGAACGAATGACCTCAGTTTCCCTGTCTGTAGAAGCGAATGGTAATGCTCCCACTCTCTGAGGGTAATGGTGAGGAGCAAGTGGGACATCACAGCCACAGAGGCAAGAGCTAAGGGTCCCACAGGCATCCATCATGATCCTGTGATGCCTCATGACCCCATGTGACAGATGCAGAAATGGAGCTCAGAGTCATGAAGCCATGTGTCCAATCCCATTTAGCTCACAGGGGGCAGAGCGGGGATTCATGGCCTGAGGCGGTCAGCCTGATGCTCTCAGCTGCTGGGCGGCCCCCGCCAAGGGCCACTTTCCACTTTCTCACCAGCAGCAGAAGCCACACAGGGTGGAGAGGACACCCCAGCCACCTGTGCTCTGCCAAGTCCTGAGGCTGAGACCACACGACTGAAGTGAGACTCTCACGGGAGTTTCCCTTGCCTGACCAGGATGGAGGGAAAGAGAGGCCTGCAGGGAGCAGAAGAGCACTGGCTCAGCCTGCTCAGGATGAATGATTCAGTGAGAGAAAGTGTAGGGATGGAAGCATGGCCACCATGTTGCCCCAACTGTGCTCTGCACAATGGCCAGTGTGTTCCCCCGGCGGAGACGGGCTGACCTGTCTCTGCCTGATAAATGGATTTTCTTTTTTATTCCTTTGCATGGCCAACATTTTTTTCCCACGCTGATAGAGCTTCATGAGCCCAGGCCTTGCGGTCAGAGTCCCAAGGATGAACTCTGCTCTTGCTGCTCAGCAAGGAGCTCCCATAAGCTCCCTGCGCCTCCACCTTCTCACTTACATAATGGGGGCACAATAGAGTCCTCACCTCAAAGGGCTGTGGTGAGGACAGAGGGGGCTTTCAGGATCGGTGAGGAGGAGAGCTAGGGTACAAACCAGACCAAGAGGCCTTCCCTTGCTCCCATGTCTACTGCACACAGTGCAAGCTGCCTGAGAAGGAGGAGAAAAAAAAAAAAAAAAAACAGGAGGGGAAAATCCCATTGACTCATTTCTAAGTGTCATACAAATGTAAGTGACACATAAGTTCCCTCTCACCCTGGGAAGGCTATAAATTGCCGGATGCCAAACAGAGCCCAGTGGCCCTGGTAAATCACAGCACTTCCTGCAACCATGGGGCAGGGAGTCTCGAGCGGGCTGAGGAGCTCAGCCTGCCTGCCCTCCACTCAGGGAGGGCCTGGCCACCCATGTCCTGCTCAGCCAGCCTCCTTTGCCACACAGTGGCTCCAGTTCCAGCAGCCTCTGCTGCTCAGGTGGGGAGGACCCTTCTAAAATCATTGTCGCTGAGCAAACTTGTCAGGTTTTGGTGTTCGGGTGTATGACAGCAAAAACCCGATCAGCCTGGGAGGATGATTCACATTATACTAGGATGTGTTGCTTTAACAAAAATAGATGTCATTTGCTAAGCACGTACTCAGTGCCAGGCACAAATGTGATCCTCACACCTGTAAAGGAGGTTTGACTATTATCCCCTTTTTATAGCTGAAGAAACTGAGATCAGAGAGCTTAAGTAACTCACCAGGAGCAGCACAGCAAGTAAGCAGCTGAGCTGGGACATGACCCAAAGCAGCTCCACCCCCAGAATCAAACCTCAGCCACCACTTCGGGTTGCCTTTCCAGCTCCTGGAGCACGGGAGGTTTATTTGCAGGTTATAAGCTGGATTGCGAGGTTAGAAGCCCAGAATTTAACATAGAGGGCTGAGGGCACAAAGCAAATGTCTTCAGAGGCCAGAAAGCCGGTCTGGCCTCAGTTTCAAAGAGACGGCTGGAGGTGGCAGGGAGTGGGGCAAACTAGAGGCGGGCCCTATCTCAGCTCCATGGGGCTGGGGGAAGATGACAGCTCAGCTGCCCTCTCTTCCATCTTCTTCTCAAAATAAGTTGAACAACCTGAACTTCCACGTGAAATCTCTAAACAAACAACAGGCCAACCTTATGCAGGCCCACCAAAATCCATCTAGGGGCCAACTGTGGCCATGGCATAGCAGTTGGCAACCTCTGTTGTCACTTTACAGTGTATAGCCAATATTGTTGTGTCCCTGCTTAAATAGAGACTAAGAGCTTAGCAATTACTGAGTGCGGCAGACCTTGAACACACAGTGCCCCTCTCTGCTGTCCCAGCTCGGCATCTGCTGTCCCAGCTCGGCACCTGCCGTCTCAGCTCGCACACATCCTCCAGCGCTGGGGAGCTCACTCCTGTGACAGCAACCCAAATCATCTGTAAACAGTTCTAATCTTAAGAAACTCAGCTGCCCTCCACCCTGCCTGTCCCACTCTGAAACTCTATAGTATGCCCAATTCCCCTTCCAGATAATGGGATTTGCCAGCCACCAACAGTGAGTATGGCAGGGCAACAGAGCAAAATTTTCACTGAATACTCCTAAGACAGTAAGCTCAGTGTTCAGAACCTAATACATATGTTTACACTGAGTGCTCAGAAGGGCACAGCGCAGAGGCCTCCCTATAGCTGTGAGTAACTGAGGTGCAGGGAGGTTGAGTACCATCCCAAGGTCACTGTTGGTTTATGATGCAGAGGGGATTTAAAATGAGGGCTCTGCAATTCTGTGGCCACTTTTCCATCCATTCGTCCATCCATCCATCCGTCCACCCATCCATCCGTCCACCCATCCATCCAATATTTTTTGAGAACTCACCATGTGTCACTGCTCTGGAGACAGAAGGATACAACTTTCCCTCTACCAAAGTACTTCCCATCATCTTTTTCAGGCTAAGACACCTGAGCTCTTTCATCTGATCTTTATGTAGGCAGTTTCCAGATCCTTCTTCTTCCCTGACTTGTCGGTATGGACATGTGTCAACATCCCTATTACAGTTACCACCCAGAATGGACGGTAATCTCTGAACAGAGGCTGGATAAGCATGTGGCTGGGAGTGTCCCCTCCCTGACTTGGGATGTCTCCTTTTATTGATGGAGCTTCTGCTCCTATCAGCTTTCCTGACAGCCTTCCCACAAGCAACTCTTCAACCAAAACCGTGAAAATCGTTTTCACAGTTGCAGCTACTAACCCATGTCTGGTCTTGGGATATTGAGTTTAAAGACCCAAGAAAAATGGAACTGTACCTAACATCTATTGAGCCAATTTTACATGCTAAACATCTTATAAACACTTAAAAATTTGGATTTCTCCTTCCATTTTACAGCAAGACAAGTGAGGCTCAGAGAGGTGAAAAGACTTGCCTACAATTATCCAGCTAGGAAGTCGTGCAGCTGGGACACAAGTCCATGGCCGTCTGGCTCTAGGGCTTAGGTTTTTTCCTAAAGGGTTTCACATTCATACCTGGTAAATTTCCTCTCTGTTGAACAGGACTATTGCTTCGGACTGTTGTCTTTGATCCAATATCCTGGTGACACTTTCTGCCTTTCCTAGCACAAAGAATACTCCAAGTCAGCGAGCGACAGTTCCTGAGCACATCAACGCTGAGTACAGCAAACACCATTGATTACCTAACCGGGCTTGTGGCAGACCGTAAACACAATGACGGTCCTAACACAAGCACCAGAACCAGTGAGTGGATCCCAGCCAACTTCCAAGAAAAGAAGTGCTACTCAACAGGGGCATGGCTGACAGAGCCACAGGCTGCCCAGCAGGACTCAGCTGGACCTCAGTGTGTGCCCAGCTGGAGGGCCTCAACAATGTCTCTGAATGTGACTGCCCTAGGCCAGGTGCCAGGGGATGCCTACAGACCCACAGCGAGAGACACCAAAGAGTAACAATTACTATAGCCTCCAACTTAGAATCGCAGCCTCCAGGCTCCCTTCCCTGGCCCACTTTCCCTCTGTGCCCTGAGTACTTTCTAACCCAGGGCCCTGCTAAAAATCTTGCCCCAGCTGCCCGTCACCTTCAGGGTAAACTTCCATCTTCATCCTATGCCATGAAGGGACGCACAGGAGTTGGCCCTACCTGTCTCCAACCATCCCCAGAAACACTCTGTAGCTTAACATTTTCCAAGGTGGGTGCCAAAGAATCCTACTCTTAAAAGATGGTCTAAGTGTCCTGAGAAGTGAGTGAGTCTAGGAAATGTTGCAAACAATTCTATGATTTTGAAAAATCACAATAAACATTAGCATGCTGCCTTATGGCTGAAAAGTTCTATCATCAAAAGGTTTATTTCACTTTAAGCCTGAATTTCCTATTTGGTGACAGAACCCCGTATCGGAGTAACATCCGTTTGACCCCAGGGGAGAGATTTTTTGATTAGTTAGTGATGTCACCGACTTTTCCCTGTTTCTTTTATGCCTTTAGCGTACTGCATTAAGTCATACCTTCCACCAAATACCTTATTCTTCTTTCACCACCTACAAAACTCTTATTCACACTTCAAAGCCTGGTTCGACTTACAGCTCCTCTAAACATATTCCTATAAACTCCTCTAAGGCTTGATTTTGTTCTTGCCTTGATGATAACACTTATCACAGGACTTGTTTCAAGCCTATCTCTCCCCAAAGATGGGAACCTGGTCTGATTCTTCTCGAGAAACACCAGTGTCCGGCCTAGTTCCTGGAACAGTGGTCCATGGTCATTGTGGGATGGGATGTATGGGTCCGTGAATGACTGATGAAGGGAATGAGTCCATATTCATGATAGTCACGTGGTTTGGCCCAGCCCAGCTGCAGAACCCTGCCGGGTATCTGGCCGCCATGACTGGGGGAAGCCCCCTCCCCTTGGCAAGGCAACATGATCTCAAGGCAATGGCTGCCACTCTCAAAGAGAGTCAACAGGTCATTTCAGGAAGATTCAAAATAGATGGCATCCTGCTTTATCACTAGGCGTTGCTAGGAAACAGCTAGTTTGCTACAAGACAGGTTGATTAGCATTGCGGAGAAGACACAAACTAAGAAATGGCTGTATCTTCTCACCCTCCCCAAACCAGCCATGAGCATATTTGCATCCATTTCTTATTCAGCTTAGGTGGAAAGGGAAAGTTTGAAGTCAGGATTAAAGACTGCGAAGGCTTCTCAGAATATGGCAGTGACTCCGTAAGCACTGAGGCCACCAAGGGACATACTTCATTCCACCTCAGTCTTTCACTTAGGGCCTTTATGCATCTTGCCCTGGAAGAAGTCTGGAGGAGACACGGTCTGGGAAAGATTCATATTGAGAGAGAAGGAGGGAGCTCTAGTTGCTGACCACTCCCTCCCCTGATTCTCAGTTATAGAAACCCGGACTCATGCTACCTGGAAGATTGGGAGAGGCTTTCCAGGCTTTCAAAGGGTAAGTAAGAATCAATGGGATGAGGTCTGACAAGCAACAGACTGCTGGTTTCCTTTCCAGGCAGCAGGCACCAGGAGCCACTTCCTCCAAGAAGACCTCTTTGCTGACTCCTTGCCTAAACTCCCAAAGCAGTGTGCCAGGTGCCATCATGGGGATTATCACCAGTTTACAGATGAAGAACCTAAAGTTCAAAGTGATCACACCAGGAAGTAATTGGCAAGCCAGGACTTGAACCCAAGTCTGAATGTGCTACGATATCAGCTAAATTTGAACTAAACAGGAAATAAACAAATGCAATTTTTTATCTTTGGATACTTTCCCCCTCGTGTATGGATGATTGTCTTGAGAGGCGAGAAGGAAGACTGGTTTGGTCCACAGAGCTCCACACATGTAGTCATGGGATCTAGTTCCTCACCCTGCTCTGCCACTAACTAGCTAGGCTACCTTGAGGAAATCCCTATCCTCCTCTAGGCCTCTAGCTTCTGATCTGTTAAACAGGGATAACAAGAGCCACCCTGTATATTCACTTCCCTGGGTATTGGATGATAAGCGGAAAACAGATTTTAAAAGCATAACACATCAGGCAATATTCAGCACACAGTATGTGCTCAGAAAGAATTGGCTGGTTGAATGCTTGTAAGCTATTACTGCAATGCACTGAGGAGCCCAGAGAGGCTGGGTTGGGGTCCCACTTGATTTCTACCATTTTGAGCAAATTACTTAATCTCTCTAAGCCTCATTACTTCCATCTGTAAAATGGGGATTATAATGCCCCCTTGATAATATTGCGATGAAGATACAGTAAGTAAGGAATGTAGAAATCCAGGCCCAATAGAGATGCAACATATTTCCATTTCTCTCCACCCTTCTTCCCTCTAGAACCACTGGAAGGCAAAAGCGGTCTGAGAGCTGTCTGTCATTCCTGCTGGACCGCTGCCCGGGAGGCCCCCAGCTGCTGGGATTGGCCAGTACGTGAGGTGGCACTTACTTAGTCGTGCCCAGCAGGATGAGACAGACTGTAATTTCCAAGGCTGAGCCCTAGCCCCACAGAGGGACACAGCATGGAGCCACTTTGAGAAATCCACATTCAAGGCACAGTCTCCCCAGGTTCCAGGGAAACGCAATAGCTGAGGGAACAAGGAGGTTACCAAGCTAATCGTTCCCCGATTAAAGCAACTGGCCTAAAGCCAGCCAAGCTAGCCTTTGCAAAAATTTAAGTTCCATCAGTAACCTATAGTGATCCTCACGCCTCACATCTGGGTAGCACCTTACAATTTACCAAAGGCCTCTACAAACAATATTCATTCAATAAGGCCTTGCAGTGTACAGAGTCAGCATGCTAGGCATAAGCTTCATTTAATTGGTCAGGGCAGCCCCGAAGGAGCAGATGTGTACCAGATGTTTTATGGTGACTGCACACACCACTGCTACCTTCTAAGAGGAACTGTCCCACCTGCAGCCGGCCATGTTTTGTACCAGGTGACCTCTAGCAGCCATGTTTGATATCACATGACCAAGTCCCATCATGATCACAGCTGACTGGACCAGTGCTGGGCACCTGCCCTACGCGGGCCCAATCACTGGCTGTCCAGTAACCTGCAGTTTGTCTCCTCCTTGGAGGTTTGGGAAGTGGATCTGGGGAACAGAGCCTGGGTAACTAGCAGAGGGTAGAAAAGCCAAAAGGAGTTACTAAGAGTTGTCAGGGTGGAGAAGGCCAGTATGGCCAGGACAGGACTAGGACTTTCCCAGTCAAAGCTTTGTGGGACAACAGTCTATGAAAGAGCAAGGGAAATGGGTGGCCAGAGAGGAAAACAGAATAGAAATGCAGAGAAAAGTAGGGCCAATAAGGAGAGACCACATGGATGCCTTTCTATTGGCAACATTCCATTTTGAGTTTCTGTGAGTCTCTGCTGCATTTGGGTTATTGCCTTTGGCCTCCCAAAGATCCCTGCTACCTTATCACAAGACACTTTTGCCCTGAGTCAGCTTAAGCGGTCTCTGTTCCTTGCAATCCATGACCGTGAGCAGGACAGCACCAAGTAGGTACTGCTATCCTCACTCTGCCCACCGAGACCTGAGACCGGGGAAAAACTGACCTTTGCTGGCTTCTCACAGCTTAGACCAGGGTTATCCTGACTCAGGGCCAGGGATGTCCTCAGAATACAAGCTCTGTTGTCTACTCCCTGAATCTCACTGCTTTTCAGGCTGCGTAACTATCCACCGATTCTCAGAGGAAAGAAAAGCTGGTACTTGGACAGCTATTGTGACAATCTGTTTCTCATCTGTCTCTTCCACTAGAATGTGAGTGCTGAGAGTGTGGGGACAGTGTTATCTTGTTTACTGCTGCCTCCCCACAGCCTAGAAGAGGGCTGGCTACAGCACAGATGCTTAAAATTGTTTGCCGAATGAATGACTGAATCAATTGATCTGTCCCAGGACTTTCTGGCCATGATGAGAACCAGGGAGTTTTGCTTATCCTCACCCACAGACAGCAGTAAGTGCTGCTCCATTTGAGATTCCAGATTCTTCTGGGGAAATTTTTCACTTCCTTCTCCCTTGGGAATTATTTGTGGAAAGCAGCTGCCGTCAGCGTGGGTTCAATTCCTGGTCAGTGCCGGGACTGAGAGGCAGCAGAGGACCCTCACTTCCCTGGAGCGGGCTAGCCCCTGACTACCACCCAGACTGTGGACGCAGCAGTTACTGCCACGGCATCGCCAACAAGTCACCTCGGCCCCCGCCCCAATCCCCACATCAGGAAATGAACGACAGGGAGATTTGGCTGCTCTGGCAGATGGAAAGTGGACTTGAAGCTAACTGTAACTATCTTTCTCTTGGCCCTGGCTCGGGGCTTCAGGGTCTCACAAAAGTAGCCCAAGCTATCATAAGTGGAGTATGGAATGAAAGAGGTTCAGGAATGGGATCTATGAAGACATGAACTCTAAATTTGCTGGATGACCTTGAACCAGTTGCTTGACATCCCTGAAACCAAAAGGTCTGAAGTCTTTGGTCAGAGCTGGCTTCTTGTCCCAGCTGAACTTGGGGCAAGTGGCTTAACTGAGCCCCCGTTTCCTCGACTCCAGGAGAATAATACCATCCAGCTGAGAATAACATCTGCCTACTCAGAGCATTCAAATGGGCTGTTGATTCAAGGCTAGCACAGAAGTCATGTTTACTCTGTGATGGACTCAGTTCATTTTGGGGCCACGGGCCCCCAGGCTGAGCCTTGAAGTGGGAGACTATAGAGACCAGTTTGCAACCCCTTGTCAAATCTCACACACAACACAGTAACAGTTGGAGCTCAGAGTGCTGGGAAGACCCAGGATAATCTGGTTTTCCCCAGATTTCAATGCCAAGATCGGGGAGAGGCAGGAGGCCAAGTAGGAGAGAGACAGATGGGGCCGTCCTTGCCACCCCAGTCCATGATCCAACAGAGAAAAGCACACAAGGGTCAATGTGGTGCAAGTGCCCACTCACTAGCTGGGTAACATGGGACAAATCCACCCGCATTCTCTGAGCCTCGGTTCCCTCATCTACAGATCAGGCTAGGACACCTGCTCTATCTCCGTCAAAGCATTGCCCTGGAGGGGCCTAGCACCTGCTGTCTTCTACTCCACATCGCTCTCTGTCCCTGGGGTCTACTGAATACCTGACTGTGGAACCCTTCTCACACCGCCGTGAAACGCACATTATTATTTGACAGATGAAGCAGCTGAGATCCAGAGACACTGAGTAAACTACCAGGTCACGTGGTCGTGGAGTGAAGGCTATAACCCCAGGGAATGGGGGCAGGTGGGGGAAGAAATGAAAGAGCAAGAAAGGGACAAAATGGAAGGAAGTCAATACCCAAAAAGAAAGGTGGAAGAGAAAAGGAAGGAGGGGACAGGGGATGGAGAACACAGAGCAAAGAAGGAGAATAAATCCCCCTCGGGCCGGGGGCCAGAGTGGACGTGGAGGGGAAGCTGGCAAGCTGCTCCTTGGGGTTGGGTGGGGGCTTCGAGGCACCTCCCACCCCCAGTCCCAGGGCCTGAGGAAGTGACAGGTCAGCAGAGACATTCAGCTGAGCTACAAAAGCCTTCTGCCGGGGGGGCGAAAAAACATGAAAGGAGACTTCCTCAGGCTTCAGAAATTGCTGAAATACAGAGGCCGCTATGGAAGATGAAGTGTCCTACAAAGGAAGCTCCAAATGGAATCAATTTCCCTGGGCCAACTTTTATGCCCTATTATGAGAAATCGAAAAATTATTTCTGTGGGAATGTCGCTTTGCTGGTCCACCTCCTCAGAAGGTATTGAGAAGGGACATGGCTTCCAATAAATGGGCACTGGGTCTCGTCCTCCCTCATGGGAGGTGATCCTCTGCTCTGTGGCTCAGGAGCCAGGGGAAGTGGGGTCAGGGAGAGTTTGGGGGGCTATTCTGGGAGGGC